TAAGAGACCCTACAACCACACCCATCCCTGATTTTATTCCAATAAAAGGACCCAAACACATGGCTGATATTTTAAGGCTTTGAGAGAGGATGTTGCTAGGAAGCTTCCTCATGTTCAGATTCATTGTATTGTGTATTATTTTCCCCTTCCCCTCTCCCTTTATAATGTAGCCTTGGGGCAATGTGCATGGACAATGGAATCATATTAAAAACCTTTTACTCTTTGAGTATTCTTAAAATAGTGTGATGATATTTTAGCCAAGTTCCTAATTCTATATCTTAAGAGTGGTTATCTTAAGTGTGAGTTTTAGGTTCTAGTTATTTGATTGAGTGTGTAATATCTTGATTAAATACTAGAGTTTAACCCCAAGTTAATCTAGAGGTGAGCTTATCCTTTAGTATTAATTTGGCTCCAAATTAAGATAAGAGTGTGTTTATCTCTTATTCCTTATTTGGAATTTATCCCATCCTTTCTAAACCCATCCTTCATCCCTGATTTTCCACTCTTCTTCATAATATCAAAACCCAAAAAGAACTCCTTCACATTCCCATATTTTCATCCAGCCCATTTCCCCTTCATTATTCCATAATTCCATCTCCAAAAATAACAACTTGATAAGACCCCTGGTTCACCCCTAACATTAAATACTCCGTATATACGGAGTAATAATTGTAAGAAACTATGGAGGCTCAGATCCTTTAATGTTAGAGGGTGAAAGAAAAACACCGCCATGGCTGCATTTCTCAGTTTCATCTGCATTTGCCCTGCCAAGATACGGCACAGATTTCATCTACCCATAAAACTCTATGCAGTCATCGTCACAGCCTACCAAAATCTTGAGGCCTACCGAGATGAATCAAAACGTGAACTAGTCCTTCCCTAACACTATGTTTTGCTAAAGGAATTTATATGGGAAAACTGAAGAAAATGGGGAAAATAATTTTTCTTGATTGGTTTGAGAGGAATAGAAAAAAGAAAAAAAAAGAGAAAAGAAAAAAAAGAAAAGTGGAAGGAGAAGAAAATGGGAGTAAAAAATGAACTAAGAAAAAGAAAAACTAAATTCCTTCTATTTTGGTGAGAAAAAGGAGAGAATGTTAAATATATTTAATATATATTTATGTTAAGTATATTTAATGTATTTATTATTATATCATTGTATTATTGGTAGTTACCTTTTTGTATAGGTTTCCTTATACTCCTACCATGATTAGGAGTCCCATCTTGTATATAAATATGGTTGTACTCCTACACAATAAATCAATTGAAAATATTCATTCTTCATGGTATCGGAGCCTATTCCAAAAACATAATTCTTTTCTCTCCTGCTCTCGGCTCTCTCTCTTTCTCGTCACTGCCTCTCTCGACAGTAAGGGTGCCGCAGGCCACCTCTCCTCCTTCAACCTTTGATATCTTCCTCCTCCCATGGATAATTCCGACAACAACGGACAAATCCTCTTCATCATCATCCTCCTCCAATTCTCCTCACTTGGCATTTACGGCAATATCCAACGTCAAGCTCCATGTTCCCATACAATTGAGCTTCTCTCACCCAAACTACAAAAAATAGTGCCGTCTCTTCGTGCTTCTTGTTCGAAGGTTCAATCTCCATGGCTTTCTCTCCGGATCCAAGACCCCTCATCCGCTGCCGACGACGACTGGTTTCAACTTGATGCCTTGCTTCAAGGATGGATTCTCTCCACGGTGACCGATGAGGTCTCTGACTTGGTCATCTCCTCTACTTCTACGGCCTCCGAGCTTTGGCGGGTTATTCATGATCTCTTCCATGACAATAAACCCGCTCGGGCGATGCAATTAGAACATCAATTCCGCACCACGGTTAAGGGATCCATGCCCATGGCTACTTATTGCCAAACCCTACGCAACATAGCCGATTGGCTAGATGACGTCGACGCCCCGGTCTCCGAATCGCAGCTTGTGCTCCAACTATTGCGAGGTCTACCGGACGATCTCCAAGCACAAACCTCTTGGATGCAATTTCAACAGCCCCAACCCAATTTTCTCCAAGT